TTTAACTTCATGAACTTCCCCAAAAGGGTTCTGAGAACCCCAGATCACATTCTGAGTAATACAGGTTTAGTTTGTCTATCTTTGCTGCATTCAGTTTTGATAAATTATAATTTTCAAGAAAATTATCTGGATTATACAGGTGTTCAAATCTATGTTTAGAGTTGAGTAAAGTTGTCTATTTTTCTTTAATTTCCTGTATTTCTGTGAGGTTCCTCCCTTATTTCGTATTTTGAATATTCATCTTAGTTCAATTTAATCTGTTGATTAAATTTAACCAACCGCCAGCAGTTTATCTATTTTACTAGAATCAGCTCTTATTCACTTTATTTACATTTCAGTTTTCTAACTCATTAATTTGTTTTTTACCTTTACTAATTGATTTCACATTTTTCTTAGGTCTACTTTGTTACTCCTTTTCTAACTTCTTGGGTTTGACTACTTAATTCACTTATTTCATTCTTTCTCATTTATTAATATAAGTATTTTTAATGCTATGAATTTTCCTGTAAGCACTGCTTTAACTGAATTTCACAGCTTTCATAAGTAATCTTTAATTATCAATTTTTCAATACTCTGCAAAATTAGTTTTCATTTCCTCTTTGACCCAAGAAGTATTTATTTCAGAATTCAAAAAATTTTCCAGGTGGCCAGTCTTTTTGTTTTCTAGATTTGGTATTTCTAGCTTCAGTGATCCTACTTCCCCTGCCAGCTGCCTCTCTCTCTCTTTTTTTTTTTCAGCAAAAATATCTAACAGAGTTGTCTGTACTTATTAAATCTAATTCCTTTCCTTCCTCTTAAATTTTCTCTTGATGATTATCAGGTTTCCTCTACCGCCACCTCTACACTGCTAAATCACTTTCTCATTCCTCATCTTATCAGACTTGACAGCATAATTTGGCCAACTTAATACATCAGAATTTGATTTTTTTCATGTATGGTATAAATAAGGGATCAAGACTGATTTTTTTCTCATATGGATAGCCAATTGATTTAGCACTATTTATTTAAAAGATCATCTTTTCCCCACTGCATTACCACATCTGTCACAAATCAAGTATGTGTAAGTCTGTTTCTGGACTTTACAATGTTTCATTATTCTGTTTGGTAGTACTTGAGCCAATATCACTCTAGCTTAATTATTATAATTCATAATGAGTCTATATATCTGAGAAGAGTTACCTCTATGTTTTCTTCTTTTTCCCGATTGTCTTGACTATTTTTCACTTTTTCAATTTTTATTTAAGTTCTAAAATCAGCTTATATATTTCACCAAAGGATTAAAAAAAAACTGCTGAGATTTTTGTGATTTCACTAAACCTATAGGTCAATGAAAGAAAAACTGACATCGTTATTAAATCCTCCAATCCATGAACAATTGTACACACTTCCATGTATTCAGGTTTCCTTTAATTTTCTCTGTGATATCTTACAGTTTTCTATGTAGAATCACACAATCTTTAGTTAGATTTATCCCTACATATTTGATCTCTTGTTGATGTAAATTTAAACTATATATTATTTCAACTTTTGTCAATACTGCTTTATAGAAATACAACTACATATTGACTTTGTACCCAGCAAACCTGCTAAACTCACTTACTAAACTTAATAATTTTCTAAGTATATAATCACATCATCCATAAATAATGGCACTTTTTTAACTTCTTCTCCAATCCTTGTATCTTTTATTTCTTTTTCTTAAATTATTGTACTGGTAGGGACCTCCAAAACAATATTGAGAAGGAAAGGTAGAACATGACATTCTGGATTTCTCATCTTAGAGACAAAGTTTTAATACTGCACCATTAAATACAATGTTTGCTGGAGGTTCTGTAGAAATCCTTTTTTTGTATTCCTAGCTTGCTCAGGCAAAGCATGAATGCTGAATTTTATCAAATGCTTTTCTGGTACATAATGGTCTATCCATGACTTTTCTTTTGTGCTCTATTGAAGTGGTGAATTATAACAACTGGTTTTTAAATGTTAAACCAATCTTACATTTCTGGAAAAAATATAAATTGGGTCAAAATATATTATTCCTATAAATTACAGATTTAATTTGATAATGTTATTTAGGATGCTTCATCTACATGAGGGAGTGAGTGACTATATTTTCCTGCTTCTGTTATGTCCTTTCCAGCTCTTCATGTCAAGATTATAGCTGGCCTTACATAGTAAGTTGTGAAGTGTGTCCTTTTTTCTCTTATTCTCTGGAAGAGTTTGTGGATGAAATTTTAGCTTGATAGTTATTTTTTCCCCCCATCACTTCAAAGCTACCTTTCCTTTGTCTTGAAACTTCTTGGTTTCTATTGAAAATAAAACAATCTGTTTCCGGCAATCCTATACATGCTCCTTTGAAGGTAATAATTTTTTCCTGAACTACTTTTTAAGTATTTTCTCTTTGATTTTGGCTTTTCATTATTCTACATTACATCTAGGTACAGTTTTCCTTTAATGTTAACTGTACTTGAGATTCATAATGCTTCCTAAATCTGCACCTTAATGTCTTTAATCAAGCTTAAGAGATTCCTCAGTCATTATCTTTTCAAAGATTGCTTCTGCTATATTCTCCCTCTTTTCTCCTCGAACCCTAATCACCTTCCCAACACCATTTTGTTCCAGTTTAAAGATAGAAGATTAAAACTTTTTTAACCATACTCCCTTTGACAAGTGGGATCTATATCCTTCATGCATGAATCTGAGCAAGCTGTGTGGCACAGCTGACGAACAGAATATGCAAATGTGATGTTGTACCACCTACATCGTCAGAGACGAGAAGCTGCCACACTTCCTCTCTCTTGCTCTGGGGAAAAGCAGCAGATACTGTGTAAGAAGTCCAACTACCCTGAGACTGCCATTTATGGAGAAAGAGAAATGGTGGCCAGTTCCAGAAATTCCAGCCATCCCAGCCCTGGCACCAGATACAGGAGTGCAGAAGTCATCATGGATGTTTCAGCCCCAAGACATGACACGTGGAGAAGAACCAAGGCCCCAAACATACAGACCCAGTGGAGCTACTCCAGGTATCTCTAGCTGTTTGAACAATCCCCTCTGAAGATCAAGACATTGCAGACCACAGACAAATCAAATCTGATATACCCTGACTGAATTACTAACCTTCAGAAAAATGAGCATTAAAAAGGTTGTCGTTTTATGCCAGTAAGTTTTCGGGTCATTTGTTCCTACTGGGAAAGGTAATCCTCCAGGAAGGCTTCTAGTGTCCCTGCACATTTTTGCTGGATGTGTGAAGAATGCCAAGCCCTAACCAGTCTTTCCCTGGGCCATTTCTCAGGGCTGTGTTTGCAGCCAGAGGCCTTGAGGGGTAAGCAATCTCTTTCTCTGGGACAAAGAGTAGTATTACTATAAAAGAGGTTAATTCACTCAGCTCATTGTTTCTCAGATGTGATGCAAGCTCACAGTGTGCACATAAATCCCTCTACTTGCCAGTGCTATGTTCCAGAAGGACTGACATGATGTTCATGTTGCTTGCTGTGCCATGAATAATAAAGTCCTTTGTCTCTGACCCAAGAGTATCTTCTGCTAATATCCATAAAACAGTAACAGGCTGATTTATTCGTTATCTTACAAGGTAAAATTTCAGACCCTTCACAATTCTTGAAAGGTACAGGCTGACCAATAGATAACTAGGACATATTCCATGTGTCTTTTCTGTATTTTCTACCTTTTACATCAAGTGTTTCGTTCTAAATATTTTCTTCTGACCTATATTCCAATCCACCAATTCTCTCTTCATCTTGAACTTATTTGCTGTTAAAACCATCTCCAATGAGTTCTTATTTAAGGGATGGTATTTTTCAGTTTAGAATTTCCATTTAGTTCTTTTCCACAATTTTCAGTTCTCTACTCAGATTCTCAATTCTGTCTTTTTTTTCCCCCTATCAACATAATTATGTTTGGGTATTTTAAAGGTCATGTATAACAAAGCAATTATTAGGATCCCCAGTGTATATTTCTGCTACCTGTTGTTTTCTTCTTCATTTTTGGTCACATAGCCCCCTTCCTCCAAAGACGATTAACAACTACTTCTGGCAGCACTAACATCACAGGTCACCTTAATCTAACCGCTCACTGAGATGTTTTAAAGCTGGGATTTATTTCTAAGGTATAGCCCTTTGGGTCTCTAACTTAAGCACAGAGGTTTATCAGGACAATCCCCCAGCCTTGGTGAGCTATAACCATCTGTTTTTGTTTTTTTAGCCTCAAGTGTCCATCAAAAGCTCTGCTCAGCCTCTCACCCACTTTTTCCCGCATCAGCAGATCCCACTAAGGGGAAAAGTAGCCTGAACTTGCAGGTTTATTTCTGCCTTAACAGCATTCTGATACACTCAAATACATGTCTTTTATATTTTGTCCAGTTTCTCTAATTTTTTAATTGAAGTGTTAATCCAGATAATTTATCCAACATTAGCAAAAATGGAACTCCTCCAAAAACAGATTTAATATGTTTAATATTCAACAGTTTTAGAAGTTCTGTTTTTTCCCTTCTATCCTATCCATTATGCGTCAGAACCAGTGTTTTCAAAATATGCATTCTACACGCATCTTTCAAGGTTATGTGTATTTTAAAATAAACCCAAAGGATGCACCTAGTTAACTATGAAATACCTTTATATAATGTCATTTGCACAAAAACATTCTATCTAGAGTAATGAAAACAAAACATTTAGAATAAGACAACTTTTTAAAAATACATATTTAAAAAAGAAAAAATGTATCAAAATAATCTCATATTTAAATTAGAAAGAAGAAATACTATATTCAGCTTATTTTGATAATTTCCAGTTCTACCTGCCTTTAAATACTTACTAGCATTATTTAGAAATAAACTATCATTTATTATGACCCAGTATTTTCAAAACATTTTACATATAATATAGTTTTTTCTTATATTCTTCTTCCTTTGGAATATTATGTAATTTTATGAAGATCTGAAGTTTACTGAAAGTCTTAAGAGAAATACTGTGTCTGCAAACACTTACCATGAAAAATACGAAAATCAATATACGGGTGAGAACCTCTTCTTTCTGATTCAAATCCTGCTCGACTCCTTACGCGTACATCTCCTGAAAAGAATCAGGAAAAAAATGTAAGTTTAGCAGGCTGCCATTGGGAAGAAGCTTTCACATGCAACAAAGGTCTATGCGGTATACTCAAAAGTAAAGGCCCACTAATGACATACATGGACTAAGGAGTTAAGAGCTGATTTATTTGAGGAGGGTTACAAATTTTTGGTACTGAGTTGTAAGGCTACATGAGGAGTTTTTTGTTTTTTGTTTTTGGTTTTGGTTTTAACCTCCTAAGTAATTAAAATCTGTATTTTAAAGTCATCTTCTGAAAGACGACTCAAGTATATGATAATCCAACCTCACATCTTATTACTCACATGGAATTAAAAAAAAGTCTCAGCACAAAACTTTAAAAAAAGCCACAGCAAAAAGCAAATATTTACTAAGTGTCTACTCTGTGCCTAGTACTATACTATAAGAGATATAAAGAAATTGAAAATATATTAATTATTCTCAAGCAGCTTACAATTCTTTAAATGTATGGAAGATTAAAAATTAAAGATGCTGTCAGAAATGTTTAATTTGATTCAGCTTCTCTTTTCTCATTGACAGTGGATATACTCGAGGTCTTTAGTTGGGTCTTAAACTTTGGTGGTCGTAAGCTCGGTATTGTTTCTCCATGTATCCATATGACTTTCAGATCTACTCCATACAGCAACACAAGCACTGCAGTCTCGGGCCAGGCACCCTTTTTGTGCCTTACAGGCATTATTTTATTTAATTCTCTAACCATCTCTGAGAGACAGGAATCTTAACCCCCATTTTACAGATGCAAGAAAGGACATCTGAGACGTTAACAAGCATGCCAATGGCACATAGCTAGCGTAAAGATGAGTCTGGATTTAAATCTAGCTCTGTGGGCTCCAAGGCAGCACCTTTCCCACCAGACTTCCACAGCCTCCAAGTTCAGAACCTTTAAGTCTTCAGCCTTGCTCTGGCAATTCTGTTTGCCTGGAAGGCTTTCCGGCTTACTCTTCTTTCAAGGAGCATGTCATCCACCATTGAGTCCAACCCACAATGATTAACCACTTCTCTCATGTGGAGATTTTTTCACTCTGCACCAAATGTTTACTGAGCACTCACTACATGTCAGGAACGCAGCAGTGAGCAAAACACATAAGGCCTTCATGTAGCCTATCCTTTCATGGAGTGGGACAGATAACAAAACAAGTAAGTAAGTTCATTCTATGGAAGATGGCAGTAAGTAACCTGTAGGAAACGAAAGCAAGGTTAGAGAAACAGGGAGGGAGGGGCAGGGGAGAAGTGACGTGTTAGTGACATCACAGGAGACCCCAGTGTAAAGGAGGCATTTGAGCAGAGACCTGAAGGCAGTCAGGCAGTGAGCCACAAGGCTATCTGGAGGAAGAGGCTTCCAGGCACAAAGAAGAACAAGTACAAATACCCTGAGATGGGAGCATACTTGGCATGTTCAAGGACAGGCAACGAGGCCTGCATGGCTGGAATGAGATAAATGAGGGAAACTGGTAAGAGGTGAGGTCAGAGAAGGTGTAGAGTCACATCATGTTGGACCTTCATAATAGGTCTGGCTATCACTCTAAGATAGAAAACTATCGGAAGATTCTAGACAGAGGAGTGAGACTGATTTAACGTATGTCTGGAAAGGTTCACTCTGGCTGGATAGACTAGAATCAAGGAGACACAAAGGAAGATGCAGGAAGACCAGTCAAGGAGTGAGTGCATTAAGCGAGGCACCCACTATGGCTGGGGTTGGAGGGTATGGTGATATGGGGGATGGTGGTCAAGAGGTACAAGGTTTCAGTTATGCAAGTTAAGTTCTGGAGATCTAATGTGCAACAATGTGACTACAGCTAACAATAAAAACCAAGTAAATGTGGTTTAGATAGGGATGGCAACAGAATTGGGGTGGTGAAATTCTGGATATATTTTGAAGGTAGAAGCCAAGAAGATTTGTTGATGAAGTAGACAGAGTAAGTAATAAATGAGAGTCAAGAATGATCCCAAGGTTTCTGATCTGACAACCGGAAGAATGGAGTTACATTTTCTGACATGGCAGAAGAACGCAAAATGAACAGACTTGGGGAACACAAATCTTTTAACAGATATGTTAAATGAGGGGTACCCATAATACACCCAAGTGGAGATATTCTACAGAGTCAAAAAAAAAATGAGTCTAAAGCTCTGTTTTAAAGAGAGCAGAATACTGACTTGTCTGTAGAACAGGACAGGGACAGTAAAGAAAAGGCTGAACATTCCTGTGAGGAAAATATGTGCTAGAGCAGAACGGAGCTGAAGCAGGTAAGATACACAGAGTAAATTCAAGAAGGAAAACGGGAAGAAGAGCAAAAACAGCAAGAAGAGCAAGGAGAATATGTAGGCTTAAGAGTAAGAGAAGGAGTTAGGGAAACAGGCAAGAAGAAAAATATCCCCAAAGTAGGCGAAGAATAAGGATGACTCAAAAGCACAGAAACTGAGTACGGAATTATGAGCAAAAGTAAGTAGTCATGGAAGATCCTCTAAGAAAGGATGAGTAAAAGGGACTATCGGAATTTTAACAATACATTTTTAACAATATGTATTAAAGTACAAGGGATCAAGGAGTGCATGGAAGAGGAGGAAATTCTGGCAAAGAGAGGCACAGAGGAAGAAAATCACATACATACATACATAACAAATTCGTTTTACCCTATGGACTTGAGTAATACATTAAAAATTTAAGACCCAAGACTAGGGAGGAGACAAATGGTCTTCTGGTCAGCCAACTGAGAACAAGCACACCCAGCGACAGGACTATGTGAACAGGTATGTCACGGTCTTGTCTGTATCCATGTTACCATGGACATCTGTTCAGTATTCAGGAACTCCACAAATTTAAGATACTTCTTATGAAGAATATTCAGAATACAACCTAAAATTGTGTGCTAATGACAGTCATAGTTATTACGCCAGAGATTTCTCAATTACCTATAAATCTAAAATGCCTCTCTTTATTCACATCACATTAATTTTGGTTTCTAGACTCTACACTGCAAAGTAATAGAACATTCCTGCTGCAAACACTGACGAAAAGCTACCTAACAAAAGTTGTCTCAATCTGAAATAACAGTAGATGATAACAAAATTAACTCATATTGGTACAAAATAAATAATGCTTACCTAGCATACGAATGTACAACGCAGTCTGATCAGAGCTGTCATAGGAAATAGCTCCCCGCCTCTAGAAAAAAACCATACACACATTTTAATGCATGACAATTAAATGTGTTATAATATTCAATTCAACAAACATGTATTTATCATTATTTGTGAAGCACCATGCAAGAGAAGTTGGATATACAAGATGAAATTAATATGTATCTGCTCTCAAAGTCTCTAGTGTAAGGAAGACAAAAAATTATAAAACAATATGATTAAGCACTACCTTTAAAGTGGATACAGAGTGAGGGACATGCAGTGGGTAGAAATTTAATGTCAGAGTATATCAGGGAGAGACCTGAAGAGCTAGATAGACTCGACAAAGAGATATGGTTCAACTACTTCACTATTCCTTTCATTTAAATCTGAATGAGTAAGCAAACAAGAATCATGAGACATTTGTAGAAATCCATTAGCTAAAAATAAATGGAAGAAAGTGAAAAACCCAAATGGCCCAGAGGCTAGAAAAAAATAAGAGAATTTTAAAAAATGTAATTAGTGAACTCGAAGAAATTAGAGAAGACACTGAATCTAGAAAACAAAAAATTGTGTGCCACCAAAAGAGAACAGATTTAAAGATACATTTTGTGCCTAAAAATAAACGGATATTAAAACTATCTTGCAACATTATTCTTAACAGCCCCAACTGGAAGCAACCCAAAGGTCCATCAACCAACGAAAGTATAAATAAAATGTGGTGTAGACGTACAGTGCAGCTCAGTATTCAATATTCAGTAGTATTCAGACATGAAAAGGAATGAAGTGCTGACAGATGCTACACTGCAGCTGAACCTTGAGAAGAGCACATTGAGTGAAGGAGCCAGGCACAAAGGACCATATAACACATGGTTCCACTTATATGAAATATTCCAAATAGGCAAATCCACAGAGACAGAAAACAGACTGGTGGCTGCTGAGAGTTAGAAGGGTTGATGGGAAATGGAGAGTGCGTGCTGATGGGTACCGGGTTTTTATCCACAGCGAGGAAAAAACGTTCGCAAATTAATGGTGATAATCATCGCACAACTCTGTGAATACACCAAAAATCACTGCATTGTACCCTTTAAATGGGCAAATTGTGTGGTATATGAATTATATCTCAATAAAGCTATTATGAGAAATAACAAGTATTGCAAATATTTAAAATATATTTCTAAAACAAACAAAACTTTGTACAAGCTAAAATACCCTCAACATGTTCTGCCAACTCTACCTCCACACTCATCTCTCATCCTCCATCTCCACGTCTTCATTCTGTCTCAGAGAATAGCATCTCTCGCCTGCACTCCTACAATGGGCTGCTGACTGGTTCTCCTGCTGCCTCTCTTGGCTCCCAGTCCACTCTTCACAGACGCAAGAGTGAACAGAACATTTCAGCTACTACTCAAAATCTTCCCATGGCCCCTATGCCTGGAGTAAAGCCCACACACCAAGCCCTCAGTGATCTGCCTAACCCTTAGGACTCAGGTTCTACTGACCTCTTCTCACCGTGAAGACCAGCCACCCTGGCCTCCTTGCCTCTCCTCAATTATGCCAAACATGCAGCCTTTACACTTGCTCCCCTGTCCAGGGTCACTGCATCGCTGTCTCCTTATCTCTCAGGTTCCAGATGAAATCTCGTCTCTTCAGGGAGGCATTCCCAGGCTACCAGACCTAAAGTCACCTGAGACGCAGCCTCCTCCATTGCTCCCTACCCTGTACACATGTGCTCTGCACGGCACACAGCTGATGTCCTCTTGTTTGCTTGTTCTAAAACAAAAGCTCCACAAGAGCAGGAACCATGTTTGGCTTACTCACCGCTGCACTCTTGGTCCCTTAAACAGCAGCAATTATTTAGTAGATTTTAAATAAGTATTTGTTAAATAAATGACTGAGTGCATTTACTGTAATTAATGAATAATAATTAACAAATTAAGCTGATAAATAAATGAGTAACAGAACTGATAAAAAGACGAACTAATACACAACACTGTAAATCAGCTATATAGATCACAACAACAACAAGACAAAAAAATCCAGAAGATAAAATTAACCAAATGTCTTATTAGAATATAACCTCTGTGGGGGCAGGGACTTCATACAATGCTGCATCCCCAGATCTAGAATAAATCCCAACATTCAGAGTAGTGCCTAGCACAAAGAAAGGGATTATTAGTTGAATAAGCAGGCAAGCAAGTTCTTAAAAAATAAAAAAGAGAACTAGTGCCTTGAGCTATGTTAATAAAGTAGACTGACACTACAAAGAAATAGATAAATAGTCTATAAAGAATTTAGAATCAAATCCAAGAATATACAGTAATTTTGTATACGATAAATACAGGATTTTAAATCTGTGGGGATTTATTTTTATTTAACTAAATATGTTATGTTAAGTGGTTGCTATCTGGAAAAACGTAGAGCTGTATTATTATCGTCCTACTTCAAAATAAATCACACATGGAACAAAAATTTTACTGTAAAAAATTAAAGCATGAAAACATTAGAAAGCATGACTGTATTAAAAAATGTTTATAGGAAAGGCCTTTCTAAACTGTTCTAAAAAATTCAGAAGTCATGAAAAACAACTCAATTTGGCCACAAAAAAGTTAAATTATGTATGGCAAAATATATCATAAATATAGACAAACGTCAAACCAAGAAAATGAGTTTAACAGATATGAGGAAGAGCTCATTTTTCCCTACTACAGCTAAAAATGAGTGAAAAAAAAAAAGAAGCGCTTCACAAAACAATTAGAAAATGATGAACAATGGTGTAGAAAAACAGGTAGGACATAAACACTATTCACAGGAAAAGAAATCAAACTAATAAATACAAAAAATACGCTAGAGTTCATTAACAAAAGAAATACATATTAAAACAACAAGTGGCACTTTTACATATCAGATTGATGATCTTGTTTCCTCACAAAACTCTGGCATGAGATTTACAACTCCTCAACATACACCTAGAAATCTCAAGGAAAAAGTCATGTTTTGTACTATTATTATAAAGAAAATTTACTGTGTTTAAAGCCCTCATTTAGATTTAGTATGCAGAACTCCTCAAATCATTATTATCTCCATAATGCTTATCATGTAAGAAAAACATCAAACTCCTATACAATTTCATGTATCCTTTTTTTAAACATGTATTTGTTTCCATATTCTTTTCCACCATAGGTTACTATAAGATACTGAATACAGTTCCCTGTGCTATACAGTATGAATTTGTTGTTTATCTATTTTATATATATTAGTATCTGCAAATCTTGAATTCCCAATTTATCCCTTCCCACCCCCTTCCCCTCAGTAACTGTAAGTGTTTTCTATGTCTGTGAGTCTGTTTCTGTTTTGTAAATAAGTCTGTTTCTCTTTTCTTAGATTCCACATATAAGTGGTACCATACGGTATTTCTCTTTCTCTTTCTGGCTTACTTCACTTAGAATGACAATCTCCAGGTCCATCCATGCTGCTGCAAATGGCATGATTTTATTATTTTTTATGGCTGAGTAGTATTTCATTATATAAATATACCACAACTTCTTTATCCCGTCATCTGTTGATGGACATTTAGGTTGTTTCCATGTCTTGGCTCTTGTAAACAGTGCTGCTATGAACTTTGGGGTACAGATATATTTTTAAAATGAGGTTCCTTCTGGATATGTGCCCAGGATAGGGACTGCTGGATCATATGGTAAGTCTATTTCAGTCTTTTGAGGAATCTCCATACTGTTTTCCATAACGGCTGCACCAAACTACATTCCCACCAACAGTGTAGGAGGGTTCCGGATTTCATGTATCCTTAAACAAACAAAGAAAAAGCCCCAACAGATTATGAAATATAAAAGGAACACAAGTTTCAAGCAAAAATAAAATCCTAAATTTCAACACTGGTTGCCTCCAAGGAGGCTGAGGAACACAGGGGCAGGAGGAGGACTTTTCAATGAGTATCTTTGGAATTTTATAGCATGTGTAGTTATTATACATTCACAAAATATATCAACTAAACTTAAAAAGCAGAGCAAGAATCTACTACAAAGAAATCTGCAAAGAAATGGATGATTTCAAATCCCAAGGGACTAAAGTATACAGAATATACTCCTGGCAGCATCATGCTTAATAAAGTTAAAGTGTCTTCCACCAACAGAATTCCCTAAGCCTCCTGTAGTGTTTCATGGTAAACTACTTATTCTGCAGCAAACAGCCACTGTAATCACTTGGTATTAAAAGGCACCACTCACACCTGCTGTCCCATCCCCACCCCCCAAGATATCTAGCTTATTAGATTACAAGCCTTCCCTTAAAATACTGTATTAGAGGAAAACCTGGTAGCCTGGAGAGCACATATGTGGAAATAAATATTTCTATCAGCCAAATCATATTCATGAGATCATAGATATGATTATGTAATGGCTTATCATGGTCAATACCTGTCAACCAATCACAATCTGGGTAAACAGCTTGTTGAAATAAATTTTAGCCTGTTGTCCTAATAGTCCTCTTTAGGAGAGGGGATGTCTTCTTTTCAATGTAGGAGGGGTTATTTACCAAAACAGCCACTAATCAGAAAGGTACACTCTCATTTATCACCTTAAGGATTAAGAAAGATTGACTAATATCAGTTCTTTGTTAAATAAAACAGTACAAATCAAAAACTGGGTAATGAACATAATCTAGATTATAACCATTACATACTGAATTTATTTTAAGGTAATCACCGTAAATTTATCTGCAGAGGCACAAACTTAGATATTAAAATAATAGGGTCTGTATTTAGTTAATCATAATAAAAACTTGGCAAAAGGGCAGTATTTAATTTTAAACATGTATTAACAAATTATTTAGGGTTGTGCAAAAATATTCAAGTTATTCTATTCATTACTAATTTAAGTAAGTCTGGTCCACAAATATTTAGCTTAAATGCTATCATTTAGACAAAATTTAACTCTAATGGAATAAATCCAAATGAAACAAAAAAAATTTTTTTAACAATGGACTTTGAAAAATATATATCCAAACCCATCAACAAATGCATCCTGAGTGGTAATTCACTCATTTACGGCCTCACAGATCAAGACTAAAATGAACATGACTGAACTGTCTCACTGAGCTGTCTAGGTTGAATAATCTGAAGTAACTCATTTCAGAAAAATACACTGTAAATTATGAATTATAACAATAAAAATTTTGTTTCCATGTTAGAATGAAAATGATATTTTTATTTTTTAATTGATGTATAGTTAATTTAGAATTTTGTGTGTTTCAGGTGTACAGCAAAGTGATTTGGTTATACATATATATGTATATATCTATATCTTCCATTATAATTTATTATATAAGATATTGAATATATAGTTCTCTATGTCACACAGTAAATCCTTGTTGTTTATCTATTTTATATATGGTAGTGTGCACCATATTTTGAAAAATAATTATATGTGCCTTTACACACCAAGGCTGTAGCACAGACTTAACATGTATTTTTTAAATGTTATCGTTTTAAAAGCTATATACCAGCAAAATTCTATTTTTAATAAAGACAACAGGGCAAAATTACTTACAATCCCTTGTCACGCTGTCCGTCATGAAACACTCTGAGCTATCCTCCCCACTCCGCCCTCACCTTTCCAGTGAATGGAAATAACTGAGAAGCTCCTACTCGTGACTCTTCCAATTTAGCCATCCTGGGAACAGCTTGTAAAGCAAACTAGCATAGGTCAAAACACGGGCGAGGCTGAGCTAATCAAAAACTGACAGCGCAGCATAAACAAGTTAAACTGTAAGGTTCCAAAGGGCCCACTGCCACGCGGACAGGAGATCCAAGTGCCACCGTGAGACCCTCACCTCAAATCAGGGCAACTCACTCTTCCACAAAAAGTCTGACTTACAAGGTAAATGATAAAAGGCATAAAAACTGTTCTCAATATTAGTTAACACATAACTTTCAAAGACACATTTTAAAACTGAGCAAAGATATTTTAAGTGCTATTGTTTTCATTTTGTTCAAGTTTCCACTAAAATGATCTCCTGTGCAAAAGCGGGTGTATTTCCCTACATGGTGAAGTAACCACATAGCAACAACTTGCTGAGGTCCTACTCCGTGCCAAAAAATCTTCCAGGCACTGTCGTACAAAATCTCATTTAATCCGCACAAAACCTCTATGAGGTAGATTTTATTGGCCCTGTTTTGCAGACTAGTAAACTGATGGTCACAGGCCTTAAACACAGTAGCGCTAAATAGATTTTTGGGTAACACTACCAAAAAATAGTAACATACTACAAAAGATGAAGCCCACAATTCTGAAAGCAGTTTTCCAGTTAAATGAACTTTTGGCTGGAAAACGCACATTTCAGAGCCTACCCAAGTACTGCCTCACCCTTATGTATCAAACAACATACTTTTTAAAAAAATCACAAGTTTAAAATATCAGCACTCTTTTTGTTTAAAATTGCATTTAAAATTTTTGGTGGTGATAAAAAAAAGTCTGTAAAAACATCCACAATTCAACTAATGCATTATTAATATTAACTTGACCTTCATTCAATAACTTGGAAAAGCTAATCCTTTAAAAACAATGAGTAAATAGGTGTCAGTACAACAAAATTAACTCTTAACTTATAAAACACAGGATTTTTTGAAATTTGAGTACATTGTTTTTCTTTAAGAGATTTCTTCAATCATATTCACTAGGGAAGCAGGACTGCGTCAAGTAAGAGACAATCATGCTTAAAACAATATGGTTAAATCAGAAAAATTACATTATCGGGGATTAAAAACCTCATTTGAAAAGGAAATTAACTTTACAGGAGCTTTTGTGTTGCTTAGCAAATAGTGATGCTCTTATCCATTTTATGTTAACACTGATACTTCTCAATGTCTTAATACAGGAAGAAAAAAGCTGCACAGTGGATGGAAGATACAATCATTTTTACACAAGTACAGAAAAAAATAAGTTCAAGTAGTATAATCTTAAGTATTTCCTACTTTAGACTCTCATCCAGATGGCAGACGGCAAGCATTCTATCAAGCATTTCTTAAGTCCAATATTTGGAATCCAAATTAAAAAACAAGACATATAATAATCTTACTTTCTTATTCAATATAAGTTATGAAAACATTTCAGTTGCAGCAAGACCTTAAGAACATGACAGAGGGTGGTATTTAGTTTTTAAATTATTTATAATTGTGTAGAAATCCTCAATAATTATACTTTGATAAGCAACAGTAAATTCTATACCTCCAGAAGAGAATGTTTAAAATCTGTACACCAACAGTCTACATTAATAATTTTACAATCTTGAAAGTTGAACTTCTTTAATCATAAAATCTTCTTTAAAGGAATGCTACTGAGGAAAGCTACTATGACACCAAGGAATGACACCATAAGAAGCCCTTAAAGAGGAATAAGGCGAGAGAAGAAATAAAAACTACATGCAGTATTCTCTTAAGCTTTTCAACTGACAGGTAAAACACATAGCTCTTTTAATCAAGGAAATAAAAATTGAAGCAAAAGGAGAAGAAACTCAACTAGCAACTTCACTCCTACCAAATATACAAACTAAAGATTAACGTCATGACCCTAAAAATAAAGATGGCCTACCTTTGAGGCGATCCACTTGATGAGAACCAAGGCCAGACACCAGATCAATGTAATTCCCATTGGATTAATGGAAAGCCCGCTGCATAATCTCCCTCCCCTCTAGCGAGCAACGAGCAAGGAAGATTTGTTAGGAGTCTGACAATAACCAGCTGTCCCGAGGCAGAGGAGAGGGGACACTGCCTGCCTGGAACCTCACACAGCTGCCTTCAAACAAGGATCACCTGACTCTTGTGGGAAGGCGCTGCCAGCCAGCCTTCCACCCCGGCCCGTGTTCAGTGCCACAGCCCAGGGCTGGGGCAGGAGAGGGGCAGGACCTTTGGGAGAGTAGAGGAAAAATCTCAGCAAGTGCTGACCTAACAGTCTCACCAAATGGAGACGAACGAGGTCTCAGGCCAGCCCCAAGCACATCCACAACCTTAAGACTAGAGACTTTCAAGAAATGTTTGGCAGTACTAAAAATTTCCTCGTTTCTTCCACGCAGACCAGCTTCACAGGTGGAACACCCTGGCATTTAAAAATATGAATGCGTTTTATTCCATCTTTTCAATGTTTAATACTGAATTTGTTCAACTTTTTATTTCCTTTAGAGTAGAATTGCTTTATGAATGCTAGAGGCTTTCCAGACATTGTGCTGTTTAACATTATAATTCACTAACTTCGGAGTTATTGACAAAGGCCTGTCCAACCATGCATTTTCAAGCCCTGATTTGCAACTCGACTTAAATGTTTCTGTTCCATGTCTAGTTCTTCTCTTGGCTGTGAGCGAGCTCTGTGATAGCCAAGTGGGCCCATACTCATCCATCTTCACCATCTCTCACAGCAGCCGGCAGAGGCACAGCCCTTCAGGAAACTTTCGTGCAAGCATTCAGCAAATACTCATTAAAGTGGAACTATGTACCAGGCCCTGTGCTAGATGCCAGGAGCATAACCTTATAAAACTAGAAACGGCTCCTGCCCTCCAAAGCTTAGTTTAGTCAGAGTCTACATTAATCAAAGTCTGCAAGTAAATACAAAACTGCAACTGTAACAAGTAAAATGGATCTGAGACAGGAACCGCCAACAAAGCCTGGTTCTGAGCTGGTGAAAAAGCAAGGGGCTTCTTCCCAGGGCCCTGAAATGTCCCTGAGCTGAAATGAAAGAGCAGGAACATGAGGATCGGAAGAATGATCTGCATGTCACGACAAAGCATGATGGCCGGGGCGCAGACAAACCAAGCGCGGTGAGAAGATACAGGAAGAGCAGAGGAGGCGGAGTGCAAGAGGGCAGCTGGGAGGCCACTGCGGAGATCCAGGAGAGAGAGGATGGCAGGGGAGGCTGGGGGGTGGGGAGGAAGAGAGGGCCAGCTGGGAAACACTCAAGAGGAGACAGGACTGCGTCATAGAGAGACAAAGTCACCTGCCTCATGACGGTACCCACATGACAGTTTTAAAATACGTGAAAACAGCCCCAACAGTTCAAATACCAATGCTGTTTTCATTATCCAGTCTCAATACAAAGAGTTTACTTAAAAGAATAGTTAATTGCAGACCTGTCAAAATGAGGCATAAATTCAATTTTCAGGTCCAAATCAAAATTTTTCTAAATTCAAACTATACATTAAACACATGGCTGTTCATTTCCCACTAGACCTCACATGGCATCTCTACTTCCTACTGAACTAACAAGCTGTAATGCCAAGCCCTGCGCAAACGGAGATAACTTTTTTAGTTTGTCATGAAACTAGGTGTGACATGAGGTTGAGGTTGTCAGGGTTTTGGATTACTCTCTGGGTTCCAGCAAACTCCCAAGGATTCCCAGGAACAGGACAGAGCAGCGAGTGTACATCAGCTCCATCCTCCAGAGAACTGCTGGTGGTCATGATTCATTATCTGTCATGCTAGCCTGGGTTACACACTCCAAATTAGCCCACACCTTGATGCTCAGCCCAGAAATACTTCTCATCCTCACAGTCTCCTGCCAATCAGTTGCTCAAAAAGTCAAGTTCTGACATGCAAATACGATACTGCTATTTTTGGTACAACAGTTAAATATTTTTAGATGTCTTTTTGGTTAATGGTAAGGTCAAGAATCTGTACTTGCTTTTCTTCTAAACGAGAAGGACTGGACAAGGGAAGAGGGAAAGAATCAGAAGTGAGACACAGAAGGGAAAAAAGTAGGAAAGTCAGTACCCAAAGTTCACTCACTTAAAATGAGCTTCTGTCGAGATTATTTCTATCATCACAAAACTCTACTGGGTTTGGAATCAAGAGCCTGGGTTTATGTTCCAGCTGAACTGCCAAGAGCTGAGTGACCCTGGGTAAGTCACCACCTGTGTGGGCCTTCCTTTCCTCCCTTCACAGGCATTAAATAACATCTGTAAACGAACACCTGGCTCATAGCAGGCTTGCAATAAATTTTAGCCAAATCCAAACGAAATAATTAAGACCAAAGAATGATAAATGACCTAACCAATCCAGTTTCACTCCAGCTCTGGGCTTAACTGAAATCACATGGCCCATGAGGGACCTTGTGCTGTGTTTGCCCAGTGCCCTGAGAACCTTTTCTGATCCCTGGGAGGCGAAGGTCTTGGCTTTCTCTTTTCATACCAGTGAACAGGTTGGCTCCCTAATATGGGATCCCCCAGCGTCCTCTTAAATTTCTACTATATGTCTGACACAAATACAGCGGTAATCAAGACACAGTCCTCCCAGATCACAAAATGTCCTATTTGAATAGTAATAGCTGGTGAGTTTATACCTAAAAGCATAGTTTCTTTATTGCTGATGACACATTTACATCACTCAAATCTGACAAAAATCTCAGGCAATGCAGTTTTTCCTTAAAACACTACATTTACCTTTCTTAATGGTGTGAACATAATGGCTTTAAAATGTTTTCTTATTTTGAGATACAAAATATTTACCACTAACTTATCTGGATAAATTACAAGGCTTCTCTTAATAAATGAATCTCAATAAGATGAAACAGAAACAAAAGCTTGTCAAATTATATTAATACTTCTTTAAAATATTATGTTTATTTCTTAGAAAATATCCTAAAATTTAATCTTTCCAAATCAAATTATACAATTTTTTATCCCGTAAAGAAATAAATGCCTCTTTCACACTAACAATAAATGCATTCTTTCATGACATTTACTTTCTCACCTGTCTCAAAGCCTTAGTGAAACATGGCAGGGGAATCAAAAAAAAAAAAAATCACTTGACTATACTAGAAAAATTAATGCACAGGATCCAGTTAAACTTTTGATAACAGAATTTGATACTATAAGAAAAAAAGTACAAAACTCTACCTTTCTAGGACTTGTAAGACTAGTATCTGAAAAGTCAGGACATTAAAAGCAGATCTCACTATTTTAGGAGCATAATCAATAGAAAGAAAAGGTACAGCTTTGATCACTGTGTCTTAGAGAAGTAATCCGAGTGCAAATTTTATCCCTGGACTCTCGGCCACTCACAGGACACCTGTCAATCTTGGCAATAGCCTTTAGCTATCCATACAGAGACTCAGCATGTCCTTCTCTTGACCAAATTAGGCTAACCTTCATCTGCATTGACATCAGCGTCTATAATTTTGGAATCTTGTTGACAGAAATAGCCTATCCCAGAGTTCTTTATATAAATGTAGTGTTCATTGGAAACCATAACCAAATTTATAATAGAAAAATGTGAATACTGTAGTCGAAACACTCTAGTTGTGCTTTTATCATTTTGAATTCCGGTTAATTTTAATAACAAGTAATAAATGAGCACAGGTTTTTATTTCTTTTACTAAAAACTACATGTCAGGGCTTATTATTTTTCAAATGTATGAATTTCAAGAGCTATGAAACTGATAAAAAAATTGAGTTTTGATAACCAACAAAAATTATTTTAAAACTATGGTAACATGGGAGTTTCACCAGTTCATTAAGGCCTTTGTGTCACACTGATTTAGACTTCTAAAATAAGTTTTCTGTTTTATAGTATCTCAGTATTTGGTCCTAGTATGAAGGAAGTAATAAAAACACCTTGGTATTTTATGCATATCCACATCTTTTCGTCCAGAAAACTACATCTTATGACATTAAAAGAACTTACATTTTTAAAAAATATGGAAAAGTAAAAATGGTCACAATTTCCAGAAGGTAAACAAACAAACAAACAAAAAGTACTGGTATAGATTCCACAACTGTAGAGTTTAACTTAGGCTGCTAGTATATAAGAGCAGGAGGATGTCACAGACACGGGACACCTGAATTTCAGCAAGGCTGCACACACAGAGCAGTGTGAGCCCCTACCACAGGTAGGCTGACTCCTGGCTGACTATACAAACATAAGCAGAGATTAAGTACTTGATATCCAACTAGCGGAAGAATTCTAGAGGGAGCTAATAGAACTCTATACTAGACTTTGCCTAGTGTTCTGCAGTTTATTTATTGGGGTGCAGATCAGACTAATGCATATCAAATCTGTATATAAAATACAAAGTGTAAACCACCATGCTTAATTACAAAATAACTTAATAAAGTATGAATTTTTATATAAAATAAACGGTATGCATACAGAACAATGGAAGTGGTGTTTAAATCAGTTTCCTTAGGAAAAAAAAAAAGCCAAAATGTTCAAGGTAATAAGAGACAAATAAGGCAATCTTAGGAAGCACTGAGAGTCAGATAAACATCCAAATCAAGGATGCTCCAATATTCTCAATACAGGCCACATTTATAAGACTGACTTCAACTCTGAATATTACACTGAGCGATGCATACATACATCATATTGTTAATGCAAATAAGGATAATATATAAGGAATAGCTTTATGAACTGAGATGCTTTAGGCAAAGAAATAAAAACAGGGTGTTAAACTGCTCTAAGATAAAATAAGCTAAGGAGTTTAGCTTTATTCTGTGTAATTACAGGTCGAAGTAGAACCAATGGGCAGAAATTTGTGGGAAATAGAATCTGACTCAATATTACTTACTAAGAACTTTCTACAACTTCTAAGAACTGTCTACAATTAGAACCATGGAAATTGAAAGAAGCCGCCTCAGACTAGCCTCTGTCAAGTAGGTTGTAGGGCAGGCTAGAACAAAGGACCTTTGAGGTCTTCCGCCAATTTTAGGATTTCACGTTACTGCAACTGACTCAATTTAAATATCAAAGAAGTCTTTCTAAGAAAGCTACTGTTATTAAAGGCTCTTCAATTGGAAATGCATCCCCCAACACACCCCACAGA